CTTCTTTTGTTTGTCGAAAATCTCACCTGGAATATGAGAATTTTAATATTAAGGCGCAACTGCATTATGGTTACTAAAGTCACGTATCTGTGTTAGATTGTTGTTTATTGGGTGAACGGAACGTTTAGATTCAAATAGTATTCGGCATTTTAATTTAGCAAGCTACATTGGAAGAAGATAAAACTCCAGGCATTTTGCCGGCACACCATTTAAGATTAAATCTTGATGGTCCACAACTGCTGTTGACTCTAGAAATTGATATCAACTGCTGCCTTTTAATGACTTTTTTGGTCATCTTCCGCTGTTTGTATCCAGGTATGCTTCTACTTGGACCTTAACCCCAAGTCTTCTCAATTAAAACTATTTATAGCTTGAAATTTTGACACAAGTTCTTTTTATTAGGGCCGACGAAGCAACGAAACTGCATTTCGCATTTCCCCTGGAAACCTCAAGGGACCATGATATGTTCAACTATCTGAATGACTGCTGTGAATTTTTAAGTAAGTCTCATAAACTTAGCACGTCGTGTTCAATCGAGTTCGCAATATCTAAAAAGAGCGTTGGCAAGTACCTAACCGGGAATTGCCAAATACTGGATGTTCCAGCGTTCGTATAATTTTGCTATTCAATAGTTCTTATATTTGCAGCGTTCCATGCCCTTGATATTTTTTCCATGAAGCGCATATTTTTTCAGTTATCGGCTGTTCTTTGCGTACCAAGCAGGACATCAATACGCTCCCAACTCAGGAATTGTGGTGCTATACATAACTGGACAGTCTTCATTGACTTGACCCAGGTATGAAAATGTCGACGGCCTCAAGGGGATTCGGACCCACGCCAGCACGGGGGGGCTTTAATACAGCCAACGCTCTAGCCAAATGAACTATGATGTTCCCGCCGAGAGCCGCGAGTTTAATCACACTTGGGTCAATTTACCCGAGTTTTTAGTGGTAGCGAGCGCAAGCAAGTGTTGTTTACGCAAATGGACCAACGAGAACCAATCAGCAAGGATTCACCATTGCTCATCATAAATCCTACATGATGGGGATGAACATCCTTAGGCCCGCGTATTGGTTGCTGACGCGTGCGATGCTTGCCCGAAAGTCAGCATGGCCTTGCAGCTTCCGTGCCAATGCAAGGACGCTTATGTTGAAGTGGGAACATGCTGCCAAGTCATTAATAAGCTGTTCTGTCGACCATCTGAACCGCTGATCTTGGAAATTCTTGTTGCTAGTACCCTAGCCAGTTTTGCTAAAGTCTGAAGTCAACTATGCAACATTAATACCCGCCAACAGAGTTTTTGCTGCCATATCCTTGTCAAGTCGGTTTATTCTTGTACTGTTAACTTAAGTGGATATTCTCCCGGTTTCTTTTTGAAAATAGGTGAAAAATCACCCATGCAAGTTAGCCATTTTATTCCAAATGCTTCTTTATAATTAGACGTGATTGTTGGAGTAAGAGCCTTATCGCCTGACAAATACGGTGCATAACTCAAACCTTGCCCATCGAACTAGCAACCTCGGAATAGGGTCATGTTTTAATATTTGCCAAAAATTTTAACACCCCAATTGGTCAAAATACTGGATTGTCGTAGATTGGTGGTTATTAAGTGCTGCCTCGCATGTGGTAGGCAGTTAACGAATGTTAAACAGAAGAAGTGAACGTGATCGTTGGGAAAATATACAATATCAGATAAGGGTAGTTCATACAAACCAATTCTCACTTCGATGAGACCGGGCCACAAATCCAAGTTCAGTGAAGCCGCAATTCTCACGAGAGGTAAAAATCGAGTCGCCTATGTTATATTTACGCGGCCCTGGTTTGTTGACAAGCGCAGGGATCTCCCCAATCCATATTCAGTGCTGAGACTAGGGTTGGCCGAGGTAATTATCCACGCATTTTCCACCGCCAAGGTCGGTGAGTCAGGTAACTGAACCGTTATGACGCCAACCTCCAACACGGGTGATTAACTTTTAGCAGATAGCGATCCGCATGCCGGCACCAGGAGGAGGAGGAGTAGCTTTGTCGGGAAGGGCTGCTCCGTCAGGAAGCAGTGTAAAATTAAGAGATACGATTGCTGGAACAATAATTGTATTCGCCTGACGTTTCGGATTCTGTCGGGAATCCTAAATCATAGGTAATCGTAGAATAGTGTGAGACATGCACAGATTGGGATGGTGCACCGCACTTGGAGTTAGAGTTGCGCACAGGCCAGAAGCAACCATCATGCGCCGGCTCATGAGACCGAAAGACCAACTGCCACGGCAGGAAACGGTTGGAGTCGTTTACCGGATTCGGTGCAGTTGTGGACGGAGCAACTACGTCGAAGAAACCGGGCGATTACTCCGGACGCAAATAGCCGAGCATGCACCGGCGGTGCGGAGGAAAAAAGCTAACTCTCAGGCTGTAGTTCACTCGACGAGACCCAGCCATGT